CCCCCCATTCCCACCCGCAATCCCACCCCTCCCCTTCCCCACCCCCCATTCCCACCCTTCCCCCTCCCTCCCTGTCCCTCCCCTCCCCCTTTGCTATCACCCACCTGCCCCAGCGTCTCCTGGGGGGTGTTGGGGTTTTTACTGGTGTGGGTGGGGGGAACGAAGGGGCCTAGAGGGGATCCCTGCGGGGGGCACTGGAGGGAAGAGAGAGAGGCCAGGAGAAGCAGGGAAGGGAGATGCAGGGGGGAGGGGGGCAGGAGCATGGTGGGGGGAAGGGCCTGGTGGGGGAGGGAGAGGAGCTGACCCAGATTCTTGTCAGATGATTGTTCTGCTCAACCAGACACGAGGGGGTGAAGTGCGGAGGGTCAGGTGCCAAGTAGGACAGGAAGTGACAGAACCGGAACACCCCCCCCCAGTAAAAAATCCCTGGATAACCAGCCGCCCCGCCCCAGAGGTGGCCGCATCTCTGCGCCAGGCAAGAGGTTCCCAAGTAACCAGCTGCCCCATCTCAGCACCAGGCGAGCGGTCCCTGTGTCACCGTCCGCCCGCCCCAGAGGTGGCCGCATCTCAGCACCGGGTGACGGGTCCCCGGGTAACCAGCCGCCCCGCCCCAGAGGTGGCTGCATCTCAGCACCGGGCGAGGGGTCCCCGGGTAACCGTCCACCCCGCCCCAGAGGTGGCCGTATCTAATACACAAATGTTTGTTCCAGATCTTTAAACACGCCAGGACTCCTGGGTCCAGTGCTGGGGGGGTGGGGGACGACAGACCAGGGCCAGCGGCTGGGGGCCGATGGTTTTGAGGGGGGGGGCACGGAGCGGGGGGGGGGACGAGAACAGACCAGGGCCAGCGGCTGGGGGCCGGTGGTTTTGAAGGGGGGGGCGAGTGGAGCGGTGGGGGGGGACAGAACAGACCAGGGCCAGCGGCTGGGGGCCGGTGGTTTTGAAGGGGGGGGCACGGAACGGGGGGACACAGAACAGACCAGGGCCAGCGGCTGAGGGCCGGTGGTTTTGAAGGGGGGGGCACGGAGCGGTGGGGGGTGGGGAGTCACTGGGCTGCGGCAGGAGACGACGAGGTGGGGGGCGTTGGGGGGCTGAATGTGTGGGGGTGTCTGTGGGGGTGGGGTGGGTGATGGGGGGCATGTGGGAGGGGACTGGGGGGCAGGGTACCATGGAGGGGATGGGGGGGTCCGTGGGGAAGACTGGCTGCGGCGGGGGGGGGCTGGCCCAGGGAGCCGGCATCTTTGAGCACGGACCCCCCCATGTTTGGCAGTGAAAGGGCCTGGCCATGCGCGGCTAACGCGACGTGACGGCCTGTCCTGCCGGCGCCCCCGGCACCTGCTGCCACCGCACGCATGCAACCCCCCCCCCCA